TTAATTGACTAATTTCCTTATATTAATACTGAATAATAATAGAAATCATTAGATAATAGGTTCTTCTTATGATTAACATACATGTACCTCTATGTCTAAGTTAAAAATCAAGACAAATCCTAGGCAAAGTTTTATTAAATATATATTCAAAGATATGAAATGATTTTAAAACATCATTATCACATTATATAATACAATTTTTACTTGAAAAAATGGCTCTAATACCTTGTTGTTTCAAAGCATTCTTCCAAGCATTGCACCATTCAAATAAAGTTAGTGTTTTTCTTCCATTTCATGTTTCCCCATATTCTTCTAGGTCTAGATTTCGTTTTTTTTTTTAACCTGCCATGCAAAACATTGCTGACTTTAAAATCACCATAGTTAATGGCATAAAAATATTTTTTGTTTCATCACGGGACCGTTTATTTGGACTTTTTTTTTTTTTTAACCCAAAACCTATGATCGCGATCGCGGCAAAAGTTGAGGTTGATTCCTCTTTGTAACAATTTTTAATAACTTTATATTTTATCTTTTATAATAGAAAAGTTATATTCTCTTATTTTAATATGTTCTTAACATTTTGCCTGTTTTGTTTCACTTTGAAAAGTTCTGAAAATGGACTTTATTTTTTAAAAGAAATAACGTTTTTGTTTTTAGAATGCCTTTGTTTTCTTTGTTTTGGAAGCCATTTGCATTTTTATATTTCAAATTTAATGGATGCAAAGATATTCTATTTAATAAAAAGTATAATGTGTAAAAATTTATACAACATACAGCAAAAATAAAGTGCAAAAATCAAACAAACAATGCCGCTAAATTTATTGTTTTGAAATCGCGATCCGCGAGCTGAAACATGATAAAAATTTTGTTTTTTAATTTTTTTTAAAATTACAATTCTAAGTTCGTTATAAGCATAGTATTTTAAATAGATTTTATCATTTTGGGACCCGAAATAGGTTCGTTATAGGGGTAGTTCGTTATTCTAAAAATCGCAAAGTTCGTTATAACGATGGTATTTTCAATGGAATGGAATTGGGAATCGGCCTGGGTTCGTTATAAGGGAAGGTTCGTTATATCCAGGGTTCGTATTAGCGGGGTTTTACTGTATTGGGAGAATAGATAAAATGATGATTTTGTAATGTAGAAAATTAGGAAAGACAAAATTCAGGATGACACGGCAATTTATTTGAGACAAGAATAATGATACAATTCCAAGGCAAGATACTATTCCTTTAACTTCCAATTACCGAGGGAACCAATTAATATTGATTTTATTCAACTTATCGAGTATTTTTCAAGGGACCGGGAAAAAATGTTCACTAGATAAAATGATTTTGTAACGTAGAAAATTAGGAAAGACAAAATTCAGGATGACACGGCACACAGGGACCGGGAAAAAATGTTCACTTTATCGAGAGATTCAAATTTACGAGTTTCAAATTATCAAAATATATCTATTATTTTTTTATAAGTTTATAGAGAATTGTTTTAACAAATGTCGTTAGACAAACAGGATGACACGACAATTTATTTGAGACAAGAATAATGATACAATTTCAAGGCAAGATACTATTCCTTTAACTTCCAATTACCGAGGGAACCAATTAATATTGATTTTATTCAACTTATCGAGTATTTTTCAAGGGGACCGGGGAAAAAATGTTCACTTTATCGAGAGATTCAAATTTACGAGTTTCAAATTGTCAAAATATATCTATTATTTTTTTTTAATAAGTTTATAGAGAATTGTTTTAACAAATGTTCTTTAGACAAACCTTTACTCGGGTAAAACCCGGGCGAAGCCGGGTACATCCACTAGTTTTTTATATTTTTAAGGCAAAATCTTAAAGTTCAATAAAATTATTTTATGGTACATGGTTTAGAAGTTAATTTCAGATTTTATATGTACTCTATATTTTCTAATTTTGTTGTTAAAATTCTGAAATGTATTACTATATTTTAGAATTAAGAAAGTTGAAATATTTTTGATGCATATATTTCTTTTTAAAATAAATTTTAAAAAATTCTAATACCCTTACTGAAATGATAAAATAATGGGAGGGCCTGACTCATCAGTGGTGAACCATCCCAGTGGTTCTCCAGGTTAAACTACCATACCTCTGTAATATTGCATTTGTTGTTTTCCTTTTGTACCTATACTGAAGCTAGACTCTTTGAAAGGTTATTTTAAATGAACTCTGGACAAAATACCCTTTCCAAGAGTCTAGCTTCAGTATCGGTATAAAAGGAAAACAGCAAAATGTGCAATATTACGGTGGTATGGTATATTAAACTGGCGAAACCGATAGGAGGGTTCACCACTGATAAGCCAGGTCCTCCCATTATTTTATCATTGCAGTAAGGGCAGTAGAAAATTATTTTATTTAAAAAAGAAATATACACGTCAAAATAGTTCAAATTTCTTATAACATGGCACGCTATTGTACCACATTAATATTTTAAAATGCTTGGCATTAATTTTTTTGTTTGTATTATATACCAAAAAATGTTCCATTTGAAGCATTATTCATTGAGCAAACATTCACTTGGGGAGATACTGAGTGGCCATAATTTATAATTGTAACAAATGTTATTTGAATACAAAACATTTTTATACACATGCACACAGTTGGATGAAACCCGGGTGTTACCCCGGTCATTGACTAGTAATAATATACGTAATTTTTAAATTCCTTTAATACCATAATTAAAAAAAAAAATGATTTTTTTCACTTTTTTAAAACTTTTGGATCATAACTGATTATATTTTTTCAAATATGTTTGTTTGTACTGATGTAAAAGATTTGTACAGAGTAACATTTATTTACTTTTCATTATTAAAACTTAGTTCTAAATAAAACATCCTTAAAAAGAACACAAATGTGGTGGGGCAGTGCCTGCAGCCAGGAGACCTCCTGCCACTGCTGTCAGAGCCCCCTGTGTCCTTGGCTGATGCCCTGGCCAACCTGGCCCCTGGACTCCTGGCCCAGGGCTGTCTGAATCTCCCAGACTCCTCATCCATCCACCAGCCATCCTCCACTGAAGGTACCATCTCACTTATTCCTCCTTTACTGAATGGACACTTACATTTTAAAAAATATATATCAGGTAATTATTGTAGTGCTGAGAATGAGAGACATGGAGTATATCAAATATATATTCTTCCCGAATAGATGTTTGTCAAATGACATTATTGTTTTAACAAACTATTATCTTCTTTCTTATCTCTACTAAATCATATTAGGGTATCGAGCTTGTTGATGGTGTGGGTGAAGTAGAATGCGTCTGCCTTTGCCATTAAGACTAGGAGCACTACTCAGTGGCAGGCCGACTTAGTTCCAAAAGAAATGGCCGCCTCTGACATGAGGAACAGGCGCCATGTGCAGGTGCCATGCTGTTACCGAAACGTCACACATTATTAAATTATTTGGATTAGGTCTTATTTTCTTATGTAAGTGAAAGCTTTAGTTGTGGGATGATAGGAATTCATTAATTATTGTTGTCATCATAATCATTTTATGAACCAAGAATATGCAAAATAGTTGGTTTTGAAGAGTAAATTTTCAGCCACCTACAATTGAAATTTCTTAATGATGGATTCAATAGTTTTGAAATTTCAGGAAGCCTCTAGGACCACCTTTTTGGTCATTGAGGCACAGCCTGCACCATGCTGATGAGGGCCAACAGCTTGAAATGAGTATGTGGTTGTTTTTTCTTGATTAATCAAGAAAGGGTATTCTAGAATAATCAAATCACATTAGTTGATATTTATTCCAACAGATGGTGCAAGCCATCAACAAATTTCACTTGCCCAATCAGTAGATGCCTTTTTCTTAATAATTTAGGTGAAAAGGAGGACAAAAAATATCCTTTGGCATTTTATTACACACATATATATCTATATATATAAAAATCAATGTTTGTATGTCCGGTGTACAAATTCGCAGTAGTTCACTAATTCAAACCAAAATTTCCATACATAGGTAAAAAAATATGGGGAAGACGATAGGCTATTTTAAAAAATATATATAAATCAATTATTAAAACTATATATTCAAATTATTCTACTTAGCTCACGTACAGCACCCTCTATCAAAAATTAGATTAAATTATGCTGATGCAAACAAATAGATAATGCTAATAACAAACAATTATAAAAAAAATTCTTATCTAAATATATATCACTCGGGTAGATATGCACACGGGTCAATCCAGGGGCGAAGCCTGGGTCACCCGTCTACTATTATATAAATAAGGAAGGATGGTTATTATTACTCCCTCTAATGAAATTTTCCACCCAAAAATAGGAATACTTGAACATCAGCCTATTGCAAATGTGACATTTAAAAAAGGATTAAACCTAAAAATTTATTGGTATATTAAAATCAAAATATTCTTACACCGTCAAAATTTATCATTAAAGAATAAGATCCTTTTATAATATACAGTCAACCTCTTTAATTCAACACCCCAAGGGATCAGAGCTTTCGGTTGAATTAAAGGAAGTGTTGAATTAAAGTTAGATGATTAGCTAATCATCTAACTCGCTAAAATAATATATTTTTTAAAATAGCTTTGTAATATAAATTAATGATATTAATTGAAACCATTGTGTGTGTACTTTTTTTGTAATTATTTTTTATTTTCATGATTAACTTTTAGTATCAGGGACAAAATAGCATTAATACATATTTTTGAAACATAAATAATTACAAATAATATTTTATTCTAATTGAAGAAGAGCAGTTGAAAGGAAATAAATATGGAAAACAAAAAGATAATTTAAAAATATTATGCGGCTTTGATTGTAAAACGGCATTTGAAAATAATACCGCAAGTGTTTCTTTTGAACAAAAAATCAAAATTTATTTCAAGGAGAAATAACGACCATTTCTAACCTTAGGGATGAGGTATGAAAGGATGAATTGTGAAAGGTAATGATAAACAGAAAAATAAAACTGTCCAGGGATGGGAATCGAACCCACAGTGTTCGGGCAGATGCCATGTAGGTAGCCTAGTGGACATGGCATCTGCCCGAACACTGTGGGTTCGATTCCCATCCCTGGACAGTTTTATTTTTCTGTTTATCATTACCTTTCACAATTCATCCTTTCATACCTCATCCCTAAGGTTAGAAATGGTCGTTATTTCTCCTTGAAATAAATTTTGATTTTTTGTTCAAAAGAAACACATGCAGTATAATTTTCAAATGTCATTTTACAATCACAAGCCGCATTATATTATATTGTATTATTTACAAACAGAAAAATATGTCCAGGGTAGCCTAGTGGACATGGCATCAGCCCGATAAGCGGAATACTGTGGGTTCAATTCCCATCGCTGGACACTTTTATTTTTACGTTTATCATTACCCTTCACAATTCATCCTTTCATACCTCATCCCTAAGGTTAGAAATGGTCATTATTTCTCCTTGAAATAAATTTTGATTTTTCGTTCAAAAGAAACACATGCGGTATAATTTTCAAATGTCGTTTTACAAAATTTCAAAATATTATTCAAAAAGAATCATGATCTTTTAAAAATTCCTTTATAGATGTCTGTTTTTACTCTGAAATTCTTTTCAGGATATATTCCAAATGGTCTATTTTTAAAAGACATGCATGTCTTTCTTCCTCTAAAATGTCTTTTAAATAACAAAGACATTTTATTGTATTAAAGCGTTCCACTGCTGCTGCAGGTGTTATTGATTTTGTGTTTAAAATTTTTATAATATCACAAAAATGGAATATTAAAATAAAATGTCATCATAATCATTGTGGCTACATTTTATAAAGATTTATTTATTTAAATGGTAATTATTTGTATATTTTAAAATAACTAAAATATTTCAATGCTGCAAATTAAAAATGAAATAATATTATCAATCAGCGCACGATGCCTAAATTCTCGCGTAAAAAAAACAAAAAAACAATAACACTCGCGACATTGCGCAACGGAACTGCAAAGTGAAACTTAAACTAATCAAAAGTGCGCAGGCACGAGCCTATCTCCGCCCGCCGTTTGTCGCCGCTTGCCACCGCTGTAATACCTTTTTAGCGGTAAAGTTGTATGTAAAAAAAACATTCAACTATCAAAATTCAAATTTTTAAATGGTCGAACTATCGAAAGTGTCATATTATTGATATTGTTGAATTACGGTTTGTTATTTGATAGGCCTGAGGTCGGGACATCAGAATATGGTCGAATTATCGCCAAGTGTCGAATTGGCGTGTGTTGAATTAACGAGGTTATACTGTAATATATAAAAAAGCTTATTATACTATCAATACAAGTGATAAGGCACAATTTAGATTATAGCTTATAAACACAAGGTAATAAGACCAAATTCAAATAAATGATTAGTGTGTGACGTTTCGATAACAGCGTTGTTACCATCTTCAGACAAAAGTACTGAATGAGTTTTTCTGAAGATGGTAACAACGCCGTTACCGAAACGTCTCACACTATTTATTTATTTGGATTTGGTCTTATTACCTTGTGTTTATAATCTATACAATAATATCAATTTCTCTTTAGATTTTTTCCCTCCAACCTGCTACTCATCCCCATATAATATATAGCTGCTCTTACTCAATATTGGGGATACATTCACATCACTCTCTCAAAAACTGAGCAAAACTAGTAGTGTGTGCTGTATGTAGATCCACAACACCTTCAAAATAAGAAGTATTGAAGTATTCTGAACAAAGTGATTCATACACATACAGGGGAACTTATAAGTGTTTAGCTGATACCTCAATGCCCATTTAAGGACAATAAAAATTAAAATCAGGCCTCAGGAGGACAAGGTATGGGCAAAGAAATGAATGCAGGAATCTAGGTAACCATTCAATAGATCCAAAGATAGTGTTTGGACCATGATCCCAAGAATTTGTTTTAACCAATGGAATAAGACCAGAGAGGGTCCATTGGCCTCCCTTATCACTGTACTTTGATAATAAGATGGCTTTTATCTTGTGTCCCTTATCTCGAATAACACTTTCCTTTTCTCTTTCTACTGATTTCTTTCATATTTATTTGTCCTCCAGTGTATTATTTCCTACCTACTTGGAATCTAACATAGACTACTGTCATCATGGTGTAGTTAATTGGCTCGAGGAGATTCTGATCATTTAATTGAGTATCTAGGTGTTTGTTCTGGATTGGAAGCTAAACAGCTGAAGCTCAAATTTTGTACACCTATGTATGTAAAAAGGTAAATCAAGTGTAAAAAACATGCTTCTTTTCATCCTCCCATTCAATGATCTCAAAATAGCATTAAAAACTTTGTGATCATTCAAGCATTTCTACTATAAGTGTAGTTAACAGGAAGCTTGCCTAACCTTTTAAAGCACCTCAATTCTACATATTTTCCAATTAAAGTGTGTGCTCCAAAATCCTTGCCAACAAGTAATGTGTTGGCTATCGTAACAATGGTGTTTCCGAAACGTCATACACTGTTTATATATTTGTCTTATTACCTTGTATTTCTAATCTACAATCCAAATTGTACCTAATTATTTTCATAAAAATAGTTTAGTAATATTAAATAATAATTGAATTGATAACATTGGACCTTTTTATATCATTTATAGAATAACTCCTTTAACTAAACACCCCAAGGGATCAGAACTTTCAGTTGAATTAGAATTGGTGTTGAATTATAGTCAGTTAAAATGATTTTGAATTCATCACTGCTTTCTCTGGTGGACATTTTTCTAAAAGAATCAAATATAAAATCAATTAAATAAAATATTTTTAGGAAAAAATACTCCTGTAATATATATTTTAATTAATATTATCAATTGTGTGTGATATGGGATTGGTTTACAAGTGGTATTAACCGCTGATTTTCAACAGCCACATCTCAAATCATATATTAAGAACTTTTTTTCCAATAAAAAATTTCATCAATGGCCTTGATTCTTTCAAAAGTCTAAACCCACTAGTGAGTGCAATTAACCAAACTGGGTTCTAGCACATTTGTAAGTGCAAAAGCCGAACTGCTTTCCACATGTGTAGACATATGGTGCACTTACATTAAAAGCAGTCACCGACTACTTTCACCATAATTATCATAACCTGTACCAAAAGTTTACTAGGGATAATAAAAGAGGAAATTGATAAGGCACAATTTGGATTATAGATTATAAACACAAGGTAATAAGACCAAATCCAAATAAATAAATATTGTGTGACGTTTCGGTAACAGCGTTGTTACCATCTTCAGACAAAAGTACTGAATGGAGCTGTTACCGAAACGTCGCACACTATTTATTTATTTGGATTTGGTCTTATTACCTTGTGTTTAAAAACAGGAAATGATATTGTAGGGCCTTTTTTATTTCATTTATTTAGAATGTGTCATGATTATATTTTAGTGAGGGACAAAATTGCATCAATACACCTTTTTAAACGCGAAAAATTACAAATAATATTTTTATATAAGTGTATAATTTCAAATGGGGAGAAAGGGAATAAATTTGGAAATTGAAGAAATAGCTAAATATTTTATATATTTGTAAAATTATAATATTTTGTTTGCTTTTAGGCTTGAACCCTATTCAGTCAATTTTCAAAAGGCATGGATCTCTCCTGTGTTATTTCAAATGGCAGGATGTTACTCTCTAAGTTAGGTCATCCAACCAATGGTGCCTAAATCAACCATGTGGGAACAAAATGTATATCAATATTGTTCAATAGAGGGCAGCCGGGATGAAAAATTGGTCAAATTATCGTGTCTAATTTTTGTTAGCCAATTAATGAGAGAGAGTGCATATAGAAAGAAAAATATAAATATGCAAGTTGTTTACAGTTTTTTTCAATTCTGAAATTATTATCTAAAACATAATAAAATTCTGAAATATATGTATAAAAGAATACCAAATCACATGTGTGATCGGGAATTTTATATTTGGTTCAACTCTGGAGCTAGTATGCTGCTCTAGTCATTTATTTAGGTCAGAATTCCCTTTCAGAAAGGTTGGAAGTAAATTATCCAAGTTCACATTTTATTAAGAGAGAAGCTACACTTTTAACAAGTGTTATTTTAGTATACTTTTCCTTTTGAAAACATTTTACTTTAGTGTGCAGTGGGAATTTAAGAGAGAGAGAGAGAGAGAGAAAAGGGGCGCACAATTTGGTCGAACAGCTAGAAAGTAACAAATCAAACCTTATGTGTGAAATTTTCACTAGTAGCATTCATCAGACCGGAGTCTGAGGATGTTGTCAGAAGTGAAATACCTATTGTGTTGTTGTTACTTATATTATTGTTACTTGGGTTGTGTTGTTGTTACATTGGGTCGTTTTTGTTGCTTGTGTTATTGTTACTTCAGGTGTTGTTTCTTGTGTTATTTTTATCTAGAATCCAAATTTGACCTATTGCAAGGAAAATGCTTCTCAAGATGAAGCACTTTTTTGTTGCCCTTAAAAAAGGCTGAACTAAATAGATATTTGGGTTTATAATGCCTTCATATTTTATATATTCCCAGTACTCCAAACAAGGTTATAAAGGGATATATATGTTAAAAAGAATGGGGGGAAAATAAGAGAAGAGAAAGAGGAGGTCAGGTATGGTATATTTTAAGTTGTCATTTATATATATATGTGTAAGTAGGAGCCCCAATGTAGCGTGTCAGAAACAGGATTGACAAGTAGTTGCGCCCAGAAATAGCCAAGGTCTGGCTTTCCCCAGGCAGGCTGTGGTGAGGGAAGCCCTGAGATAGCCAGACCTATCTACTTGATAGCTGCTGCCGTCACTCACCACTTCCAAGTAGAAGTTTCTCTGCCAGCTTACCTCCTATGAAGGTCAAATTATATCTTGTCATTTTTTATTTTACAAAGCTTAGTTCACACTATAGAGGAGTTTTAAGATATTCAAACTTTCTGTGACAATTTAAAAAGATACCTCCTTAGGTCAAATTTTACAACTACTGTATCAAAGTGATGAAATCCAAATTATAATTGTTGAAAAAATATTGAATATAAACATTTTTTTAAGAACCAGGAGAAGTAAAACCTTTATAGAGTTGTGTCATAATCTATAGAGTTATGTATATATATAGTTAT